GAAGAGTACACCCTATTTTATGCAGTAGGGAAGGCTTGTGGTCCAGACATGCGACTGCAATGGTAAATATCAGAATTTTTTAGTTTTAGTGTACCTTGTGTGAACTAATGGGCTATAGGAGGGGGGAATATGGCACAGCCTTGTAAAGTACATCTTCTCCTTGCAGAGGCGGGGACTCAGAGTCAACACTGCCGTACGATGGGGCTATTAATTTTTCTTCTTCTTTGGGGTCTTTGCCAAATTAGCAGCAATCTTAAGTCTGTGTAACAACTCTGCTACTGTTGTGAAGGGGGTATTTTTAATTTTTTTTTTTTTTAATCTGTGTCTTTCTGTGCACAGAGAAAGAGAGGCATTTGGTTCTTTTGTCTTGTCCCTTTTGGTGGCCATCATGGCTCATCTTTGTAACACCAGATTATAGACACGGTGGGAAATATGTCTGAATTTTACAAAACAGTACTGTATAAATTTTAAATGTATTTGTTCTTCTGCTTATGGCTTGGTTATTGGAAGTTTGTGCAGTGGGGACTAAGGAAAATATTGTAATCTTGTCAAGAAAGAGCAAATTGAAAACAGAGGGATATATATAAATATACAATATAAATAGAGGAATAATGACAGCACAAAGGTTCTAATGTTTAATTTACTTTCTTATAAATTATGTCAACCTCCCCAAAGAGCTTTTTCTTAATTCAGAAGTTATCAGCCTGTCTAAAAGTGGTTTAGTTCTTGTCTTGAAAGGAGCCCTTCATTCTAATCGTATGCAGTATGTTGCATTGAGCTTGAATTTTCTGGCGAGGTTAGTTCATCCAATCCACTCCAGCAGTTTCATTCTAGAAATGAAAAATTTCATTAGAAGTTTCTTAAGGTCAATTATGAATGTGACATTGGGAAAAAACACATGTTCCTTTAAATTTCCTTTATCTATCTACTTAGTCTAAATCTTCAGCAGGTATTATTGTGGACCCTTAGCTTTGTTTCTGGTTATCTCATCAGAATTAGGGTTAGATTGTGCTCAGTGCTGTGGATATATACCAAGAAGGAGCGCAACAGCTCCTCCACTTTGCTTCAGAAACAAATAGGTGGGATTTTACCTTCTTTTACTACGAATCCTCAGAATGTCCTACTCATTAATAGTTCTTTTTGCAGCATTAATAGTTACATCTTTTTTCTTTCGTAGGCTAGGCAATGATGACAACCAGTTTGAGATCAGCATGGCCAACAGTGGATGTGAGGTGCATCGCTTTGACCCCAGCATCAAGTCAGCGCACATTCAGGAGGGTCGGCACCTCTGGTATCATCGCCTGTCCATCGACTGGAGGGATCCCAATCCAGCCATTGCTGCTCATAAACTTCACAGCAACACGAAGAAGCTGGGCACGATATTGAATGAATTTGGACATCAGAAGGTAAGGACTTGGGAGTCAGGTTTCTGACTGCAGGATTAGGTGTTGGGAAAGCTGCAGAACTCCCTCCTTGCTGTCTCAGGAGTTTTGGCACTTTCCAAGGTTATCTCCTGACAATGGGTCCTTCTTCAGCAGTACTTGTAATGTATTTCTTGTAGGGGTACCTTTTCTGTCTTGCCTTTTCTGTGTGCTGATAACAGCCACCTTGACTTTAAGTCACTAGCCATATACTAAATACTTTCCTCCTCCTCCCTTCGTTTTCCTTTCAACTAGCTGGTGACATTGGGTGCCAGTATTTTCAGTCCTGTGGAGGTTGTGGTCTTTGCCTGAGTATGAGCGCTAAACTACTCATACAGCCAAGTTTATAAAGGGAAAAAAGTATTTGCAACAATAATTAGAAGAGGTAATGGATGGATTGTTTACATTTGCAAGGTCACTGGTCCTAATTACAGTCATCAACAACAAAAACATCCTGTTTTAAAACTGGCAGCAATCTGTGGGGTTTTTTTAACATTTCCCAGTTTGTTTTTAAGGAACTGTAGAGACATCAGAAATCTTCAAGTCTCAAATAACTGTTGCCAGAATACATTTGAGGAAGTTCCTTAGGTTGCTTTTAAGAGAGTTTTTCCCTCAGAGGATATACAAGCATGAATTCAAATGCTAATACACTTTGTTGCCTGCAGCTAGTTCTGCTTGTCTTTGTTTTTTAAGAAATAGGCAGCCTGAGCTAAGGAGGAGCTTTTCTGTGAGAGTTAGAAAGCAAGTGGTGCAATGTTTATTTGGTTTGTTACAAAATGCGAGATGTCCTTTTCAGTTCACTTCTTGGTTTTTTTTAGTATTTTCTTTTGGTTCAGCCCTACTGATTGGACCATTTTGAAGATAAGAGCAGAAAAAAAGCTTCTTAGTTACTGTAACTATACTAGGCTGTGCATTACTGAAACATCTAGGTGGAGAGAGATGGCTGTCCTTTGACGTGTGCCTTTGATTGTTTTGATTTTAGAAGAATTAGTCACAGAGCAAATGATTTAATGACCTGATCCAGAAAAAGAATATGAGTCTTGTGCTATAGCAGACCTGCTGAGAACAGTCAGTTCTGAGGTTATCATGGTAATACAGAGTGATTGTAAGACCTTTTGTGAATGAGAAGAGTGTAGCTATGAATTCTGAGGATATAACTTTCTGGGCAAAAGTTATCTGACATGAAAGCAGCCGGCTGGAGGGCAGCCAAGGAACATAATGCAACCATGCAACCAGGATTTTCTCTAGCTGTGTACACATAGCATAGGATTTGGTTAAGTGTGTTGGCGCATTATCAACAGTGTATACAGCCTCTTGGTCTGTTAGCATTCAAGTAGCTCGCCAGTGCAGAACTATGGCATTAGGGAAGTCAGGAGTTGACGTTTTCCCGCTGAGGATAAAGCTGTTACGCACTCTGCAATCTTCTGTTACTTCCTATTTGTGAAATACCTGAATGGGCTGACTCTCCTCACAGTGTTCGGTTTCGTTTTTCTTTAATTTGGAAGGCAGCCTGAGAAGTTGTATGTCACATAAAGGCACCGATAAGCTCCAATTTATGAAGAGAACATCAAAGTAAATACTGTGACATGCAGGTTTTCATTCTTCTGGTGAATGTGAGCGGAATGTTCCCTTGTCTGAATAAATAAGTTAATTCAAAACAGTTTCACAGAATATTTTCCAAAGCACTTTTTTCAATTAGAAAGTTAAAACACGCTCTTCGTTCCATTCTTTTTAATGTTAAAAATCCTTCCGCCTACCCTCAAAGTCTTTCCGTTCCCACTTCAAGGCAGGAATTCCAGGCAGCAGCATTTGAAGTTAATGCCTCGTTTGCTCCTTGCTTTTATTCTGTAAGATTTGGGACTTGATCCAAGGCCCTCCAAGTGATTGAGACTATTTCCACTGACAAAGTCAGAGACTTTGGATCTGGCAGAGAAGGGAGAGGGCAGACAAGACCTCCTGGAGTTCTTGCTGTTGTAGCCTTGAAAAGAAAACATGCAGTTTGGGGGTTTTGTGTGCAAGGGAATCAAAGAACTTGGATGGGCTCGTTTACACTTTGGCTCAGATGAGAGCGCACCTGCTATTCTGCAGTCAGTACTGGGACCTCATCCACAGAAAGGGAAACCCATCCTGATATTATGGCAAGAAATACAAACAGGTTTTTGGTGCTCGAGTGGAATTGAAGAAGGATTAAAGAACCTGATCTTTCTATTTTGCTGTGTGGCGTAACAGTCCTCGGTTCTCTGGGGAGTGTAAATAGCCTGGAGGTAGAGGACTTATCTAGTACTATAGTAGGATGAGACTGACAAAGGAAATGTAGTCAGAGTATTTCGGGGAACTGTTAGAGTGTGAAATCTTTTAAGCCCTGGAATAATCTCCAAAGGATGTCATGAGAGTCCTATTTTCTGGTACACAAATATAAACTGACAATTTACTGGTGTATCTTCTGAGAAGAGCAGTATTTTATCGGCCACAGGAAAGGATAAAGATGTAAAAATTGATCTTGCTCATAGCTCCCTCCCCCC